AAAAAAACTATTCTAATGACTCAGAGAGTGAAGTACCCGTAAACATTTTCGGTATCAACTGGAGTCGAAATACCTAGAAAGAAAGATGTCTAGCTTACTAGGGCCAGTCTGATTACTATCTTTATTCGAACAGTCACAAGCACAGTATCCCAGTTACTGCTGCATCCTCACGTGTCGCCATTAATAAGTACACTGCGTTGAAGGATTATGGGCCGCAATGCCGCAATGCCTGCAGTCGTAGCTACTCTATCTCATTTATCATTCCGCAGGCAACACAAATAGAGCGCTGCATGCTGCTACTGTTTTTGGCTTCAAGCTAATTGGCAAGCAAGCTTCATCTCTTTTCTATTTAATGCGTTTTCTCTGTACTTGTTTATTCAAGATTACAGGAGAAGATAAGCTGCCATCACAAATCTTAGAGAAATCGTGTTTGTGCAGCTGCGGACGAAACAGCACCCGCAAATTAGAGGAACAGGAAACTTACATGATTGTTAGAAGAAAAAGAAAAAGTCTACGTGATACTTACGTGTACAGATGAGTAGGCAAGGAAAGACGGCGAAGATAGTACACAAGGTTCCAAAAGACAACCGGATGAGTGCTCATAATTTTTGGATCCTGAAGTTTATAAAACTTCACTGAATGAAAAGAATAAGCATTTTATTACCTTTAACGCATGCAGATCATTGGCCAGTAAAGTCTCTACCTCACGGCGGAGCACTAGAGGACTAACGAAAGAAACGCAGACATCTTCATTTTCTAGCTCCGACTCATCCGTGTTGTTCTAAAAGGTAAACCATCCTGATTGATGAAAAAAAAAAGAATTTGTAGTGCATGTGATTACATCTGTGTCTCCTTCGTAACAACTAGGACTGTACCAGCTTGACAAAGGCTGATCCCGTAGATCAAGATGTACTGTCAACCTTGGAGCAAAAACCTTAAATAAAATTCTTAGACCGATAACAGTGACAAGTAAACTTTCGACAACACAGTAATTCAATGGTGAACGGAGAACTCTTCCTTATGCTCATTGTTAATCCTCTAAACGAAATATTTCCGCTCTCTGATTACAATTTACAGTTACCGAAAAGACTGAAAGCAACAAATTCCATTACAAGTCCTCCATTCCCAAAGACTGCTCTTTGTCGAGAAGAGTAGAAGAACCACATTAATTCACAAAGTCACATGACTGCTGCAGAAAAGTCTCGACAACACACTACCTCACTGGTCTCGTTATCTTGGCAAACAACACACTATGAATTTGTCAAAGAAAGAAAACGAACTCCTTTTCTTTCCGAGTCGTGCGGGGCTTCTTCAGCAGAGCAGCAATAAGGACAAGCAGTATTCAGATTTTGATCGTCTACCTGAAAATCGGAAACAACTATTACTAATGGTCAGATGACTAGAAATAGATTTCTTTTATGTAAAATTTCATTAATTTCAGGAAGATCGATTAAGATTACGCTTCGTGAAAAATAACAAGTTTCATATCTTGAAATGTGAGTTCACAGAGATGAAGAATTTGGAATGATTAAGAAGCTTTTAGCTAGCCCAGTGGTATCAAAATAAGCACTGAATCAAAAGAAGAACAGTTGCTCTCAGATGTAAGACCTATACGTCCCAGCGGCAGTAAGAGCATCTAGTAAACTGAATGTTAATTTTTGAGTATACATTGGTCTGATTCATAGCTACTCTAGAGGGGAAACGGTAGACGTGTACAGGTGCAAAATTGTATCACTATGATTTGAGACAAAACAGAAATTCTTCGTTCGATTACTGCACAATTACCAAATGAAATCAATGAAGAACTGAGCGCAGACTGGCGATATTGACACCTAGAGGTAGCTCAACATACACCCAGGAGGCATGACGACTGCATCAAGCTATGTATGGACTGTATGATCAAAAGTCACTGTTCTTTCAACAAGACTACGACGCGGTAAAGAGAAAAAAAGTACAGGAACTGAAGGAAAAGAAACGACAATGTCTCAAAATAAACATCATAATAAGAAAGTTAAGAAATAACAAAATTGCAGCTGTTAAATTGTAGCTGCTACATAACGATTGAATACCATAAACTAAGTGATGAAAAGTTTTAAGGGGTTTTCGTAGACCACTGCACTGCTTCGAAAAGCATTTCCATGAAATGCAGTGTTTGATGGAAATAATGATTCGCACAAAAGAATTGGTTTTAGGATAGCATACCTTCCATCCAGACATTATTTCTTCATCATAAATCATCGTTCGACAAGTCGGACATGATGTGCAGGATGATAAAGTCACATCAACGAACTTCGATCCAGAATAGTAATGTGTCTTCTCATTAGTATCAGCCTTACGCATCTCGTTCCGACGTAATTGTAGGAAAACCTACGACACTATTTCAACGAGAACAATACTTCAATGTACACAAACTGACCTCTTTCAACCACCACTCGTCGCTAAGGATGGAGTCAGCTTTGCCGCAGTCAAGCTGATATGCAGGGTCTTCTTCGTCTATATCAACGATTTCATCATCCTAACAAAGAAATTATAAAAGCTGCTGATTTGGGACAACAGTCGACACCAATTACAGAAAAAGGCCTGGAAAAGAAAAAGAGCACTTACAGAATCATCGCCGAATAGTGTACCGCTGCCCCTTTCACGGTAGGAACGATTTAGACTCTTCACCTCACGCACCAATGACGATACTCCCAACTTCAACTTTGAGGACACGGCTAAAACAAATATCTTAAAAGCAAAGCTCTCGAAAGCTTTGGTCTGCAGAGATGCACCATCCATGCGGACATCATCGTAGCCTTTCCAAACTTGATTGACAAGCGAGTGCAGGCTTGGGCTCATTGTAAGGCCTGGATCGTTTTCTTCGTCTTTCTGGTTTTCTTAAAAAATAGAATTACGCTAACTCACCCCACTTATGAACTTATAAAGGTATGTGGCTCATAATAACTAACCAAAGGTTTGACTGCGGATCATCTTCATGATGGGACTATTTGTTATCCCCTTGAGCCATCCTAATGATTTATTTGGGGTCTAAAAACAGATATTTAGTTGGGTGAGGATTTTTGCAATGAGCAAAACAAAAACAAAAGCACAAGAGAAGCATGGAGATGATGATGAGAATGAACTACTGATCTGTTTCTGATTTACATGATCTAGCAAGCACAGCATTTAGCTAACCACTTTTACTTTGTTTTCCGCTTTGGGATTCAACTCGCTAGCAAATGGTGTCGACTGCAATTCAGCCATGAACTTCGCTCTGCTCGGGCTCATCGGCAGTTGATTGGAGTGAGTTGCAGCCTATGATCAGTCATATGAAATGAAAGTAAGAGATTACAAAACTGGCAACTCACCTTGGGAGTTTCACTAGATGCCAAAGCCCCCAAAGGATCAAGCGGATTACTCTTGCTGAGGGAAACTTCCTAAAACATGTTCATTGCGAGTACACTCGGTGAGATTTATTGAATTACAAAAACTCAGCTGCTGAACTTACATCGTTTGTAGAGGAAAGTGGATCTTTTTCTTTGTTTTCCTGAAGAGAATGATATGAAATAACGTAAGGCTTTGTCTCCAACTCCAACGCCTCCTGTGAAACAGATATCTAAGGTTGCAGTAGGGAAAGAGAAAACAAGAATTGAGATGTTATAGCTTTCGAAAGATGATGGTCCGAGCCAAACACGTTTAAACTCACTAATCGTTTCTCTTCTGCCGTTTTATCACTATGATATCCGCCATCACTTACAGAGTAAGAGTCTGTTGTTGGAGGGCAAAGACTGCGAGTATCCGTTCGTATACAAGCCTTCAGCTTTATAAGAGCTTGAACAAACAGCCTAAATAGGGATTAATGATTAAACGAACTAGGCAAATTAAGATTTTGAACTTCTGGAGGGTATCCCAAAATTAATGCAAGATTTGAATTTGCCGCCATTCGTGCACTAAAGAGCTGCCAACCCTATTAAAAACCATTTGTAGGACAGGCGAAATCTCAAGCTGATGTTTGGGGATAGTAAAATTGGAGCACATGATAGAAGGGCGGGTTCTAAATGTTGAAGAATTTTTAGATATGAAAAAGTCTGGCCATCGATTCGACTACAGTTAATGTGCTCGACATGTACCTTCTGCCTAAGATGACTTGATTTGGACCACATGTGGTTTCAACAAGACGGTGCTATACAACCCGTGAAACAATTCAATTATTGCAGACTTTCTTGGCCATGTACTCTCTCGTTTCGGGGTTAAGAACTGGCTCCCTAGATATGTGAACACCATTGGATTTGTAGTCAAAGGTATACGTCAACAAGCCCACAAGCACGCATGCATTAAAGGAGGAAATCCAACGCTGCATCAACGAATTAGCCATATTTATGCAATAGGAAGAGAGAAATTGTCAAAAGAGTGCAAAGCAAAACGGTGGAAAGCCATTCGTCCATTTCTTATTCCATATCGATTGGGTAAAAAGTAATAATTTGAAGCTGTTTGATTCAGATTTTGCGTTAATTTTGGGACATTGTAGTGTGCTTGAGCAATCACTTCAAGAGGCAAGAAGAGATGCTTCACTACCAAGACGCATTTGTTCCTTGAAAATGTGATTCATTGCTGAAGAAGACTAAGTTGTCATGTGATAGACCCTCACTTTCGCTTTAACAGTGAGCGCAAAGTGATAGAAATAGGATTTAGAAGAGTAAAATCACGCTCACATATTTTCAAGATCACTATACCCAAGCTGAAAAGCACATCCTCCTATTCCAACCACTTTTCAAACAGAAGCAAACCGGGAAACGTAAGTTATAATTTACAATTACTACCTAAGCTGAGCCCATGCCTCGATTGCTCGTTGCCTTGCAGGTGTTGGCCACTTTGCGTCCAAAACAGCGCGATGGTATATCCCGTATGTCACTGCGTTTTGTTCAACACCTGCGCGATGCATTGCCTGAAACAAGATTAGTCAAATGTGCAAGAGCTAATGAACATTTTCTTAACTTATACAGGTTGAGCAAGTAATTTTAAGATTAATATCTATTTCTGTCAAGAATCTTCGACTACTCTACAGCATCCTCTTCATCCAATGTCTTTAGTCCTAACTTTGAGTCACACTGTGGGCTACCCTTCCTTTCATCTAATCTTCGTGGAAGAAAAAATACCGCAGCTGCCTCTCTTCTCTACATTGTCGGATCGCTTCTGAGGGGCTTTTTATAGGTTTAACAATTACATGCTTCAGAAAGTTGTAGAAAATTTTTTTAAAAATGGCATATCCTCAGAACTAACCCCAGCCAGCATCTTTTGATTTTCTTTAGTTAGATGTACGAGAAAATGGGTTCTTCCAATCTTGCTTTGCTTCCTTCAATAGTTTCCCACTAGAATTGTCCACCAAAATCATCTAAGAACCTATGCGCCACTTAAGTAGGCTACTTTGATGGGCTATGCTGCGTATACTAATCTGACAATCATGACCTAAATTCCTATTCAGAAGAAGAAAAATAGGCAAAAGCTATTTGAAAGCAGGCATATTGTTTCAAATTTAAAAGTATGAATTATCAGATCTAAAAAACTTTGATAGCGACTGCGACAATGAAGAGCGGAGGAGCACCTGTTTGCGCTCTC